TACCAACAAAGTTTCTGCTACTTTACCAACAAAGTTTCTGATACTTTACCAACAAAGTTTCTGCTACTTTACCAACAAAGTATCAGAAACTCTTTCAAAACAATTCCATAAGAACAAACAAACCCTGAATTCATCTGGTTCCACAAGGTACCTCGGGTAATGCATATCGATCCCGATCTCGTTTGCCCATGCGTTATCCTCCTCGATCTCCACACACCAATTTTGTGTGGTCATCGCCATGTTGCACCGGTGATCTAAATCAAAGCATTAGTCTATTGAAAGAAAATTGACCGTAAGAAAGGAAAACATTGAAAATCGAAAGCGAACTACACCGTTTAGTTAAAGCTTGGCTAACAAATTCCTCGCGTAAGCAAAAAAGGTGCAGCTACTCGGCAAAAACTCAAAACGATACGGGAAAAGGACCCAACCATAATGGAAAAGCTTTAACATTGAAAAGTGCCCCAATAGTGGATAACTTGGGCTCCATATAGTGAAATACACAATGGAAGCGCGCACTTTGGAAACCCGAAACTCGGCTTAAAACGCATTTTTCCAAGCTCTCGTTGTGTTTTTCGGAATCCACGCATAAAACTACTCCAGAAAAAGTGGTTTTGAAGACAAAAAATTGTGGCTCCAACTAGCCTAATACCGCTAATCTTTATGATTTTGGTGTCATTTTATTGCACTTGTTTAGATCTACAAAATGACACAAAAATCCTAAAGATTGGCCCACTTGGAAGACAGTTATGGCGAGTCAGGCAAAAAGGCAACAAATTTGGCGCAAGGTTCTTCCCCAGAAAATGCCAAAAATTCGGTGAAAATTGAATAGTAAATTTTTTGACGGAAAAATGAACGCAGACATAAGTGTCAACTAGTGCTGCTGCAATAGTATTTGCTAATATAATATTTGCTGCAAATAAAATCTCTTTTCGGTGATTTTAAAACTTTGAAAATACAAGCTTATCAGCTCCCATACTGGTAATGTCAAGGAAAACACAACTTTGCCAAATACAATATTAAAAATCCCAGAAAAACGTTTATTCTACTATTTTGTTTGTATTATTTTCCCATTGAGTAGAAATGAAGAAGGCAGCTTTGGGCACGGTTGATAGGATCACCGATCTAAAGAAGAAATCTAGTTAATCAAAGCTTTAGTAAAAAGCTTACCTGCATGGGAAACAGTTTGTGCACGGGAGACAGTTGGGGGCACTCTATCGGCTGTCCTTGTAGTTCGCGTGGGCGTCAGCACTCATGCCGAAGATGGAGTGGATGAGAAGGTAGGCGGCAGTTGTTGAGACGAGAAGACCGAGTTGATAGGTGTAGGTTTTAGCCTAAACAGAAAAAGAGATTAGTGCAATTCGATAACAATTACCGATTCGTCCTTGGCATGCTGGAAGATATATTGAAGGGCAAGCACGGTGCAGGCTCCGTAGAGAAGAGTGAGCGCGAGGAAGGCTCCGGTCAGTTTGCCCAAAATCGCTCCGAGTGTCAGGGTGACGGCGAGCGATCCACCAACCGAAACACCAAGAAGCAGCTAAAGAAAAAGATTTAGCAAACGGCAACGCTTGATCAAGAATTTTTCTTTGCTATATAGCAATTTACCATAAGTACTCTAATAGAAGCTCCCCTATAGGAGCATCGCGCGTAGTCTAAGTTTACACTCAGAAAACTGCTCATATCTCGGCGCCAAGACATTTGTTTCTACACGCTTTGGTATCAAATTAAAGTAGAGAAGGTGAGTGATTTTTGAGATATAAAACATATTTTTATCATTAACCAGCACTTAGAAAAAAAAGATTGAAAAGTGGCAAAAAAGAGCCGATTTTCGCCGATTTTCAGCATTTTTCTAAGCGCTGGTTAATGATAAAAATGTGTTATATTCTCAAAAATCACTCAACTTTTCTACTTTAATTTGATACCAAATCGTGTAGAAACAAACGTAATGGTGCTGAGATCTAAGAGTTTGTTTTAGAGTAAACTTAGACTATGCGATGCTCCTATAGGCGGTGCTTCTATTAGAGTATTTACGGGAGGTAGTAAAACAAACTTCAACCCGCTTAGCTGGTTGAAGTTTGTTTTACTTCAATTTGGCTAACTTCAACTTATATAAGTCTTAATAAAAACAAATCACATACTTGACGTTTTCCTCCAAAGTTAGCAGCAGCAATTGGATAGAGAACTGTTGCAACTCCAACTACCATCGATGCACACGGAGTCGCAGAGAGGAACGAGTTGCGAATGAGGAAGCCAGTGAGAAGTCCGTTGACCAGCGCAGCACCCAGAAGGAAGAAACGAATCGTTGAATCCGCGGCATCCTTGGCGACGCTCTAAACTTAGACTTTGAGCATCGAAGAAGGGTTTTACCAAAACCAACCGATTTAATGATGATGTAACCGTAGAGGGGCACGCCGACGAGCACACCAGCGAGAGCTCCCCAATCCCCGATGAGCAGCAAGAAGATTGGCGCGAGTAGATACGACGAAACGAGATTGGCAAGTGATGAGCCGAGGATGAGGATTGTAGACCAAGTCAATGATGACAGGACGACCAAGGGCGGAGTGGAAACATCATCCTAAAACAAATAATTCATAGCTAAGTTAAATGGCAGCTAAGTTAGCTAAGAAAACAAAACTTACCATGGCTTGAACGGTTGCGAGAAAATCTTTCTTGAAGGGCTCAACGGTTTCTTGAATCTCTGAGGCAAGTTGAGGTGCTGTTTCCTAAACAAATGTTTGAATCTAGCACAAAACAGGTGTTTAGATTCGGTTGATAAGAATTTTTCTACCATTTGAACAGTAAAAACTTTTAGCTTTATATCAGCTTTACATACATTTAAAAGCAAATAGTAATCTAATTTGGCTAAAGCTTAGAACAAAAATAACCGAGTTTCTTTCTGGCATAGACAGCAACAGCAAGCAACATCAAGCAGTAGCAAGCAATAGCAAGCAACAGCAAGCAGCAAGCAACGGCAAGCAGTAGCAAGCAACAGTAAGCAGCAGCAAGCAACAGCAAGCAGCAGCAAGCAACAGCAAGCAACAGCAAGCAGCAGTAAGCAGCAGCAAGCAGCAGTAAGCAGCAGCAAGCAACAGCAAGCAGCAGCAAGCAGCAGCAAGCAGCAGTAAGCAGCAGCAAGCAGCAGTAAGCAGCAGTAAGCAGCAGTAAAAACTTTTCTTCACAGCAAACTTTACAAAGCGTGTTATTTAACGCGATTGCTATTAAAAAGGGAGCAAGAAAATAAGCTGCAGAAGATAAAATAAAAAGATAAAAGCACAAGATAACGATAAAAGAAATAAAATTTACCTGAAGCTGCGAGGCGCGTTGCTTCAGTTGGCTGGCTGTATCGGTGAATTCATCCTTGAATTTCGTGGCAATGTTGGAGACCGATTCGATGGCAGACATCTCAAGTTGAAAAAAAAAAACAAATAATGAAAAGTTCATCAAAGAGCTCTTTTATTTGACGCTTAAATGTGAATTTTGAAATGTAAATTGAAATTGAAATTGAAATTGTAAATTGTAAATCATTGTAAATTGGCGACTTTTAGATGTAAGGATTTAGTACAGTAAGGCTCTATTTTCTTGGCTTTCATCTGGCTTTTAAAAAGCATTCATCTACCGGAATCAAAGGTTATAGGGTTTTCTAAAAGATGTTAATAGCTACCGTACTCTTAGTGCCTCTTAGCTGTTCTAAAAGCTACGATGCCCCAGCTGCTTTAAAAACTGTTTAAAGTATCCTGTTAGTGTTAATGTTTATGTTAATATTAGGTTGTTCGGATCTAAACAAGCGTTGCTAAACTTATTGTTGTGAGAGAAGCTTTTAAAACATATCTTTCTGTGTTACAGTACATTACAGTACAAAGTACGCATATTTGTGTATTTGTGTATTTATCTTGTGCATATTTGAAATCTTTTTAAACGGATAATTTCTTATTTTTAATGTTTTTTTTCTTGCTTTAGATGGCCTTTAGATGGGATCAAATATCAAGTTTGCGTTCGCCTACTTTACGACTTCAAACTGGACAAAACAGTAGCGGAATCCTATTGAGATTTGGTCAAATCATTTGGGAATGATGTATTGTCCGAAAGCCGAGCCTGGTTCCAACGCTGAGCCTGGTTCCAACGCTGAGCCTGGTTCCAACGCTTTCGGTATGGTGATGAAAGTCTCGAGGATGATGAACACTCTCGTCGATCATGAACACTCGATCATGAACACTCTCGTCGACCTCAAACGGTAGACAACGATACTTTGAGGGCTGCAATCGAATCAGATCCATGTCAAACGACGCGTGAACTTGCTCAACAGTTTCTATGTTCAAATTCTACTGATGAGCTATTGATGAGCTATTGACGAGCATCTCCACGCCATTGGAAAGACGATCTGGTGCGGGAAATGGCTTCCTCACGAGTTAAGCAGTGCAAACGCTCGTTTATCAAACGATCAAACGATCAAACAACCTAATATATCCTTTACAATTGAAAATTGCAAACTTGACTTGTCAGAAAAAGTTTATTTAGCATACAAAAAGCCGGTCAAATAGCTTGGGATTACGGTGAGACTAAAATTAAGTGTAGTCTGTAAGAAGTTGGCCCTTTACAGTACTTTCAGAATAATCTACCGTATGCAAATGGCTATAGTATCACTGTAGGTTAAGGTTAGAGACGGATTACTATAGGGAACCAAATTTAGAGAGATAGGGAACCAAATTTAGTCAGATAAAGAACCAAATTTAAAGAGATATCTCAAAAGCTGACACTTTTTAGGAAATCGAAAATCAGCCCATTTCCAGCCACATTACAGCTATTTCGTCAATAATTTGTCTGAATTTGTCGCCGTTGCGTCAAACCGTTTGTTTTCTTTCGTAACAAGCTTTGATTTGATTTGAGTCATTTGATGGAATTTCTTCGTTTATCATCCGTCAAAACTTTGACTTTTCCATAATAAAAGCACTAAAAAGTGAATGGAAATTCCAAATTCATTTCTCGATTCAAAATTCGATCGAAAGATGCCTCTGAAGCTCTCGGTTTTGTTTCTCGGTGAGTGATTTTCGATTAGGCTTACTTATCCGGCTTACTTATCCAGCTTACTTACTTAATTAACGCAATTTGTAGAGTCTAGTCAGTGCATCCAGCCAGTTTCCATTCGATTAGCCCAATTTTGAGATCAATTTGAGATCACTGAGCCTTGTGATTTCTCATCGAATGTTCAAAATTGGATTGGTTAAATGAAAACTAGCAGTTTGATTACGATACGATACGATTACGATCTAAAATAGGCCCATTTTAGAAAGTGGATTAGTCGAGAGAAGCTTATTTCACTCTTAAGAATCCAGTTTTCATCAAAAATAGCTATCTTTTTCAGCTATCAGTCTCTGTGTGACTGCACAAGCGAGATTTATTCAAGTAAGTGGCTTCATTCTATTGAAATGATTAGCAAATTAAGATTTTAAGCTTCTAGTAGCTTTTAACAGCTTTTAGACAGTTTTTAGACAGCTTTTAACAGCTTTTACCGTAACACCTCTAATGGTAGCGCCCTCCTCCAATGACGGGGTATTGCCGCGTAGTCTAACTTTACACGCTTCGTACTCCGAGCTGCTTTATGCTACAGTGTGCGCTTGGGTGTCAAATGATAGCCCTTGAAATCTAGTATTTTTTTGCTACCAAAAGTATAGTTGGGAAAAATCTAAGGGCTTAGAAAAAAATGATTTTCTAAAAAGAAGTTAGATAGTCGTACGGGGGGGGGGGGCAGGGGAGCGCTACTATTAGAGGTATTACGATAACAGCTTTTAGACGGCTTTGAACAGCTATTAAGAGCTTTTAACAGCTATTAAGAGCTTTTAACAGCTTTTAGACGGCTTTTAACAGCTTTTGACATCTTTTAATACTAATAAAACATAAACTACAAAAAATTTAATAAATTTAGTCTGAAGAGCCTGAACTAAACACATCAACTGTGGTAATGAAAAATGAGAATTATTAGAAAAAGATTTGGTTTTTAGTCTTTTGAGAACGGAAACGAGAGTTCAACTGGGGAAACGACAACCGGGAATGTGAGTTGAAACCTAAACCACAGATAAAATTGCATAAAGATAGATATATGAGAAAAAAATATAGATAAAAATATGAGATATAATAGAAAATACGGATAAGATAAAGAAAATTCGAAAAAAAAAAGCCATTCATGGAGTCCAGATCGATGTCCAGATCGATGTCCAGATCGATGAAGGATCGAGCACAGACACCACTCATGAGCCAACTTCCATCAACGTTTCTGAGGTAAGGATTAAATTGAGATATAGATTAAATTAAGATATAGATTAAATCGAAGCAAGTGTACTTTGTGCTCAAAAAGTTATGCTTTAGAAAACGGCTATGTCTTTTTTTAATGCTGAAACTTTAGCCCATTTCCTCATCGACTATCGTTCCCACATCGGAAGATCCATCTGAGAGAAGAAAAGCGGTAAAGAATTCATTGCATTTAAATTCAATTCCGATCGAATTTGAATAAAGAAGAAATAAAGAAGAATTAAATAAGAATAGCATTGTAAAATTGGAGATTTTCAGGCAATTGCATCAGTCGAATTCGAATTCGACTATCCATTTGTGAAAATATGATGAAATCCTGATGGTGTGATAATAAAAATTTGATAATAGCAGATTTTTACACGGAATACACAGATACAAGAAACACGGAATACGCAGATGCCTCAAAATTATCCGATTCAATAAAAATCATGGTTTAAAAACTTTTTCATCGAAAAAACAAAAATTAACATTAAAAAATTGATTCTTTAGATTGCTTTGAATAAGGAAAATATCTCCATGGACGGTTGCACAAGCAGCCAGACGTTTTGCGCCAAAAGATACGCATGATCAAGGTTTCAATACGGTTCCTATTTTGATCTAATACGGTTACAATACGGTTCCAATACGGTTCCTCTTTTGAAAAGGTTCCAATACGGTTCCTCTTTTGAAAAGGTTCCAATACGGTTCCTCTTTTGAAAAGGTTCCAATAGGGTTCCTCTTTTGATCTAAAAGGTTCCAATACGGTTCGAATACGGTTCCTATTTTGATCTGATACAGTTCCTATCTTGATCTAAAAGGTTTCAATGATTTCATGATTCAGCCCAAGCTTTCTAGAGTGATTTTTTTCAGTGAATCAATGCTTGAATGTGCTTTTGAGCAGGCTTTTGCTTCGAGAACACTCCAAACTGGCAATCCATCGACAATCCAGACTTGTGAATAAGCTATTGGATTTAAATCGGGGCTTGATGGTGGCGCTAAAGCTGATGAAATCCGGAAAGTTTCGTTCACATTTCGCGATAATTCGGGCTTTGTGGCGCCCCATCCTGCTGAAAGCATCAAATTTTGTTTCCCAAGTGGTTTTGTGTCGAGGCGGCACTTCCTGCTTTAAAATATCCAGATAATTATTTGTGTTTACGCTCTGTTGAAAAAAAATTAGTCGAGTCTTTCCATCAGAAGTTATTCCAGCGAAAACCATGACGGACTTGGGATATCCAAACCACTTGGTTTGGTTAGCTTTTTGCATGAATCCTGTTGTTGGAATTATGCAAAATAAATCCAAGTGTTCAAACCCGGCTCGATGGTTACTTTCTCGTCAGTAAAAAGGATTTTCCGGTGATCGGTGCCATAGAATCGTAGCATTAGGTCATTTGATCATCGCGCTTCTTTTCGGCATCGATTGTGAGAGATTGGGCTTTTGCAAACTTATTGGCTTTTATGTTTCAGTTTTTCTCACGATTCGACTTATTGATCCTTTGGAAATCTTCAATTTCTTGGCCACTTGTCGTTGAGATTAAATCGGAGCTTTTTGCGAACCTTCTTGATATTCTTCTTTTGCTTTTGCGCCTTTTCGCTTTTCCGGCCCGGCCCGATCGATTAGAAGTTGTTCAAGATCATTATATCTTGTCTCGAAAACAATTTTGCCACCATTTCCACCACCAAATGGCCAATACGTGTTTGAGAAATCTCAATTGGCGGGACTTCCCTCCGAAAAAGTTCGATAATCGAATCTCAATGAGTAGATTTGCTCATCATACCTGAAAAAATGAATTTGAATGAGTAAATAACATTTTTGAAAGTCAAAATTAGCATAATAAACAAAAAGTAGCAAAGATAGTCAAGCCAAAAGAGCATAAAAGCACTTGGTTTCCTCCTTGGGTACTATTTTGGCAGGGTATCTGCTTTGCAAAGTCAAAAAACTAGAGGTTTACGGAAAAACTTTCAATCAAATACCCAAGCGAGGAATCAAGCGAGACAACTGCTTTACAAAGCACAATAACTTTACATCGAAACGTTCAAATTTGCCTCGTCTTGCGAGAAAACTAGTCAACATGTGAAAATGAATAGAATAGATGAATAGATAGAAGTACTTTCTGCGCGTGAACGCCAATACGTGTGATTTGGGTTGGATTAAATTTAGATTTATCCGCAAACAATAAAAGAATCGGGATCTTTACGGTTAACAGCGGGGGTAGTGATTATCGGCGGGGGCCAAGTTTTTGACCAAATTGCAATCCGATTTTTTATAAGTTTATGTTAATAACTTTTAATAAAACAAATAGTTTCTGAAAGCTGACGTTCTAAGCTATCTAAATCTTATTAAAACTTCCTGATCTGACAAGTTTAAGGTGCCTAAAAAAAGGGGTGCAAGTTTGCCAAAAACCGATAACGAGGGAGGCGAGTTTTTGACCAAATTGCAACCCGATTTTTTATAAGTTTATGTTAATAACTTTTAATAAAACAAATAGTTTCTGAAAGCTGACGTTCTAAGCTATCTAAATCTTATTAAAACTTCCTGATCTGACAAGTTTAAGGTGCTTAAAAATGAGCAAGTTGCAAGTTGGCTAAAAAATTGGCCTGCGTCGTTAACCGTAAAGATCCAAGAATCGATGAACGTCTCACATAAAACAAAGGAATAAAAAAAAAAGAGAGAATTGGAAAGCGCGAGCGTTAGCTTTAACTGAAAAAATGAAAAGAATGAACGAAAAATGAAAAAAAGACGAATGGGAAAAGGAGCACAAAATAGCAAACGGTTTTTACCGAGTACGGTAGGACAAGAGAGGGGTATAAAAAGGGGTATAAAAAGGGAAACACTTAACCCAGCAAAGCATGATTGTTTGTTTGTTTGTTTGTTTGTTTGTTTGTTCGTTTGTTTGTTTGTTTGTTTGTTCGTTTGTTTGTTTGTTTGTTTGTTTGTTTGTTTGTTTGTTTGTTTGTTTGTTTGTTTGTTTGTTTGTTTGTTTGTTTGTTTGGGTAATTTTCGCGTAACCTCTAGATTAAATTTGAAATTTTGCTGAAATCAAGCTTTAAATCATTTCTAAAAGGTGCTTTTTAGGAAAACGGTCGTTTTTTTTGGGATAGCTTTTCCCTAGACTACTTTAGAGACAACTGGCACTGCAAAAAAGCAGCATCATTCTGTAAAACCGGAACTCAGTGTGCCAGATGGTTCGCGTTTGCGCCGGCCAACTGGCAAAGTTCACTTTGAGTCAGAGAAACAAGAAATATACAGAAAAATCGATCGGAAGACTTTTTGAGTCATATTCGGCTATTCAGCTATTCAACTAATCACTTATTCAGCAGCTTGTCTCCAGAGAAATCCTTTCAAAAGCAATTGCCCAGTAGAAAATCGACAGAAATTGTCGAAATGTTTACATTCAGGGCTGTAAATTGTCGAAAATTCCTAAATATCTCTTGTGTTACTGTCATTTTTTTATTTTCGACTTATTTTATATATGGAGAGAAAGCTTACGAATTGGATTTATATCTATCAAATTTTTTGTATGCACAAAATTCGACAGCTATCAGGTGGAGAAGTTGAACGTTGAAACGGTAAATAGACGGACAGGCAGGCATATAGACAGCCAGAAACGCACGCCCTCTGGTGCACTGAATTCTCCATTGTGCAGCAATTGTCAAGTACATTTCTCGGGTTCTAAAAAGTCTGGGGTACCGTAACCAAAGCCAGAACAGCAGGTAGTTTCTCTGAATTCAAAAAAGCGCTCCAATATTTGACAATTGCTGCACAATGGAGAATTCAGTGCACCAGAAGACGTGCGTTTCTGGCTGTCTATCTGTCTGTCTGTCTGCCTGTCTGCCTGTCTGTCTGCCTGTCTGTCTGCCTGTCTGCCTGCCTGCCTGTCTGTCTGTCTGTCTATCTGTCTGTCTGTCTATCTGTCTGTCTGTCTGTCTGTCTGTCTGCCTGCCTGCCTGTCTGTCTGTCTGTCTGTCTGTCTGTCTGTCTATCTGTCTGTCTGTCTATCTGTCTGTCTGTCTGTCTGTCTGTCTGCCTGCCTGCCTGTCTGTCTGTCTGTCTGTCTGTCTGTCTGTCTGTCTGTCTGTCTGTCTGTCTGTCTCCAGGATACTGTAGCCGGAGTCGTTGAGCCGTTGAGCCGAACATTTTTGAGCAAATCCATATGAAGCTCTTGTATCAGCGTGTACTTTGTGCTCCAAGAAACAACTTCTTTCTGGCACACATAAGCAAAAAGAAAACCTCAAAAATGATTCCAGAAAAGCTCCAAGCAAACCGGTGATGATCTTGTACTACACGAAAATGTTCAGCAATTACGAACACCCGAATTGGGTGCATCGGAACGAGTGTGCGAATTTGTACGAGGTTCTTTTTACTACCAAATTCCTATATAATCCGATATCAAATGGGTTTTTTAAAAGCTTTGAGCTACAGAGCTGAAGCTTTTAAAGCCTTAAGCTACAGAGCTGAAGCTTTTAAAGCTTTAAGATCTACAAGGTGCGTCATAATTATGGGCTCAGCTTTATCTGTGATCATTTGGTTGTTACCCTGTTATCTATATATTGTTATTTTATTATCTTTTACTTTTTCATGTTTATTCTTGTTATTTGATATGATTTCTAAGATTATATAGTGTTTTTAGAGATGATCAAGTGTCTATCGGAACTCAATCATAGCGTTTTGGGGCTTTTGACATTTGGGGCTCATAGGGGGCTTTGACATTTGGCATTTGGGGCTTTGACAAGCGCAACTTCTGAATTTCTAGGCTCGTGAACAAGACTGTCAGATTGTCGTTAGATTAAACGCTTCAAGGAATTGAGAACAAATGCTGATAGAGGAAAATTTAGTGATTCAGTCCAACAGTCCATCAAAAAGGCGCAAGAGAGGCTCGCAATCTAGAACGATCGGCTCGTGCTTGAATCGTGCTTGGATCGTGCTTAGATCGTGCTTAGATCGTGCTTGGATCGAAATCTGGAACGACCAAATGGAATTTCTGAGTCTTTCTTGTGAATTGTGCGGCGTGAACTTAAGCTTTCAGCTTTCAGCTTTCAGCTTTTAAAGCTCAAAAGAACAAAGGTCAAGGGCTAACCACAAGAAAAGAGTTATGTGAGGACTTCGGCAATTCAACCAACGCAGCTCTCGCTCTTCCTTGAACGCCAACGTTGAACAAGTGCTAAACAAGCAGAATGACAGAATTTATCATCTAGCTTCAGTGTGGGCAGGTGTGGAAGATGGAAAGACTGATGGAAGACTCCTCTTCTCTTCGTGCCATCAGCAGTCAACGTCAACAGTCAAGCATATTTGGACATTTGCGACAACACGTTTTTCTCTCTGCTCAATCTCATTTTGCACAACGTAGCTAGGTATTTTAGCATCGGAGCACCGGCTCACAAGTCTCGAATGGACCAGAACCCACCCGATTTCCTCGCATTCAACGAGTGACCTCGCCGGATCTTAATTCGCTTGTGTTTTGTCTGATCAAGCAGGGTGGTCAGTCAGTCTGGTCAAGCAGTCTGATCAGTCAGTCTGGTCAATCTTAGAAGCTAAACCACATCAAACAGTTGACTCATTAAAGAAAGCGCTTCTTAAAGCATCGGACGAGCCTGATGTTGTCTACTTGCGTTGACGTTGACGTTAACGTTGACATTGATTGTTCATTTCGCCTTCCATTGACGTTAACGCCTTCCACGTCAACGTCAATGGAAGGCGTCAACGTCAATGCTTCTTGAAGCATGCGTCGCTGTGCTCAATCTCGACGTCCTTCTAACAGAGGAATTCTTGGAATTTAAGTATTACAGTTGTTAATATAAAGATTGTTATAAAAGCTTTGTTCTCTTTGAGTGGCTTGTTTTTCGGTTCTTATTGACTGATTTATTTTGGGCTATAATTATGACACATCCTGTATATACAGACGGACAGACGGACGAACAAACAGACAGACGAATAGACAGACAAACAGACAAATAGATGGACGAACAAACGGACAAACAGACGCACGAATAAACGGACGAACAGACAAACAGACGGATGGACAGGTGAACAAACGGACAGACAAACAGACGGACGAACATACGAACAAACGGACGAACAGACAGACAGACACTTGCCTTTTATATTTATGGTATATCCAAAAATTCTAGACTGTTTGCGTGATTCACAGCGATCGTCGCCACTTGAATACCTCGGATGCGGTGATTTTCGAGCCACGGTTCAGCGATGAAATCGAGTTGAGATC